AAAGAACAAGGTCCCCAAGTTACCCATATGATTAAAAGTGCATGTTTGATCCAACCTGAAATAGAAAACGAAGGGCAGGCTTCAATTATTTGCAGTGGAAAACTGGATGATCAAACGGTTTTCTGCCGCTGCAGCATCTGAACTATATTGGGTTAACTCTTTGGTTTCTGTTATTGGAACAAAATTTATGCTGACTGAAGCCAACAGACTGCATTGCAATACACAGCCTGAGGTCATAATACACATTATAAAATAACAAGAAAATAGGAATGTTTTAAGTCAAGTGACTGCATCAAGGCACTTTTCTTTTTTTAAAAGCAAAACATGCTAAAAATATCCCTGAATATCCAATACTTCAAAAGCCAGATTAGATATAATTTAACTGGACATTTTGGTCTATTCTCTCTGCATACATGATCACATACTAATTCACCCCCTCCCACCTTATACTTGCTTTGTCCCCACCAAACTACAGGTACAAAATAAACAGTAGCATCCCAGTAGCAGACATGCGATTTTAAAAAATTAACACACACCACCATGATAACAATGAACTTATTTCCCTCTAGAAGAATGCTGGAAATGTTAATTTTTCCCACCACTGAACAGGGAGGTAGCCAACTGCTCCCACAGGGATGGAGATGAGAAGTATAGTCTTTATGAAGGTAAAAGGACATTTGACAGAAATGGCTTACTCCATGAGGTTAAAAGGCAATGCTTTGGAAGGGCGTAACTTCTTCAAACTGCTAAGAGGCCCATTTTGGTGAGTGTCTCCAAGCCAGACATGGATAGAAACCTCCAGGCAAGAAGTCTGATCTTGGCAGTGGGAATGGTAACAAGTGTAAGAAGCTTGGGCCAAAGACCCAGCGTTATTTTTCTGGTGTTCTCAGCCACCAGTGATCATTGCTACGGAACAGGCTAAGATTCCACTAAAAAAAAAAAAAAAAAAATCTAAAACGAAAATACAAGTAAAAAAGAAACAAGTTATTCTGCAATCCTTCCTGATTACTCATCAGCAAACTCCAAGAGAGCAGAGTTCAGCCCAGAATCACCAGAAAAAGAAGTGCCAACAGGCCCAAGTTGGTTTGATGCAGATCTTTAGGACCCTGGGTCCTTCTGGGAATTTTCAGTGTTATCCGTGACTGTGTTAATTTTGGGCCTAGGGGGTTGTTTCTACAATAAAGTTTAGCTCTGAGAAATAAAGAAGACATAACACATCACACCCCGAACTATATGTAACAACACGGTCACCTTAACAGTAAATACAACCTTATACATACTTGGGGGGTGGTTACTGTGTAAGGCAGGGTCGCAAACTAGTGGCCCCAGGCTCAATCAAATGTTTTATTTGGTCCACGTGGTATTTTGAATGTTTTTAAATTATTTAATAAAGTTTCACTTAAATAAATCTAGTACCCACCCCCATCACTGCCACTTTCTTTTTTAAATCAAAGATCTGGCGCTTTGAGGCTGGCATTCCTGCTTGGCAAAAACAGGCTAGAACCGAGTAATTTGCCCCCCTGTAAGCTTCTGCAGGCTGCTGAGTTTGCAAGCGGTTTGCAGTCGCCCATACCCAAAACTGCATCTCCTTACTCCAACTTCTCTTGCACCCTCCTATGCTGTTGGCCTCCTCTCCCCCATTTCCCTCTCTGCCCTCCCCTCACTTCCGTCTTAGGTCCTTCTTCCTGATTTCTTCAGTTGTCCTTGGTTCACTCGCTTCTGCCTTCTTTCAGCTTCAGTTTCATTTCACAAAAATACCTCCTTCTCCCAGCCCACAAGCATTCCAGAATGGTTGCCAACACTGGCCAATGGCAGTTACTGAAGGGTGTCTTAGGGCAAAATGGCTGATTCATCTTACCCAAAACATTTTCTTCAGGCACTGGCTAGAAAATTTATCCTTTTTCTTTTTTTGGCAACGTGAGCAATTTTGAGCCTTCCTATCTAAGAATATTTGCATAAATGAATCTCCAGTACCAAGCATACACCAAAAATGTGTACATTTTAAATGAAGGACATGATGGAGCCCTAATAAAATACAGAAGTAAGCTTAATTTAAGTGCCGTGGGCAACCATCACACCTGGCAAATATGCCATAGTATCTCATTTGTACACAGTACATGTTTTGGATAACTAAACATTGATCAAAATTGATCTAAATCACTACATTTTGGTTACCATGTGCAGAGAAAAACTGCTCAGCATGGCATTTAAATAAAATATTGATATCTTAAAAAGTCACAAATACAATGCCTCATTAATTTTAAAAATAATAAAAATTTATAAAACATTGAGGATGGATGAGGCTTTGGGAAATTAACCTGAAAGAAAAAGCTACAGGAACAGTATGTTACTAGACATATGCTTCAAAATACTACCGAGATAAAAAAGAAATCCACCAAGTCAGCTAAAAATATTTGGAAAATATAGCCTTTAAAGTTTTATCATTCCTCTGAGAACCCTGTAGTACCCCAACTCCAGACTTAATGACTACAGGGGAAACTGCAGCTAGGTATAGAAATTCTTTTTCATATATATATATAAACCCAAAACAACTCAACCCATTGCCATCGAGTCAATTCTCATAGTGACCCTACAGGATAGAGTAGAACTGCCCCACAGGGTTTCCAAGGCTGTAATCTTTATAGAAGCAGACTGCCTCATCTCTCTCCCATGGAGATGCTGGGTTTAAACCACCAACTTTTGGTTAGCAGCCTAATGCTTTAACCATCATGACACCAGAGGTCCTTCATATATATGTATGTTTGAATACATATATATTTATGTGCATATATATATACATATAATCTACTCTTGGTATTTATTTTTAAAAGTAATTTAAAGAACACTGTGCATTTGGTATCTTTGCAGGAAGTTGGCAGACTGATCCATTTGCTAAATGTAGTACCTTATGACCTAACTAACCTCAAACACTAGGTGTGACTTTGTGGTATCAAGGGAAACCATCCCAACAGCCTTAAAGAGAGAGCATTACATTCGCTGCTGTTTCTCTTACAGTCCAAGGCTTCAAAGGATGTAAGAAATCTATGTAGCTCTGATGAGAATTCCCTATAAACCATTTATCCACAATGATTTCCTGCAGTGGCCAAGTGGATCCCCTAAAGAAAAAGGGTTTCAAGAGTTCCCTCAAAATAGCTCAGAAATTAAACAATGGTCCCAGTCAACAGCTACTTCAGCCTTCCAAGTTTTCCCTTTAAGAGTCTAAAGCAGTAAGTGATTCTGTTTTTTTTTTTTAAATTCCAAAGCCTAACACTGGGGCTCGCTTCTTTTCCAGTCAAGCAGGGGGATGATAAAAAGAAAATCAAACTTGTTGCCATTCAGTTGATTCTGACTCATGGCGACACCATGTGTTACAGAGTAGAGCTGCTCTGTAAGGTTTTTATAGCAGTTTGTCAGACTCTTCTTCTCCGGTGCTGCTGGCTGGGCTCGAACCTGCAATCTTTAGGTTAGCAGCCAACTGCAAATTGCTTCTGCTACCGGGGCTCCTAAGGGGATGGTGAACCATTCTAAACTGAAACTGACTTCTAATACTGATTGCTGAGAATGGAGGGCTATTAGAAATTTTGGGGAATAGGAAAGATTTCAGAAAGGCCTCCTGCAGGCTGCAAAATAGACCCAGCCTGGTGATATTTACGCCCAAAGAGAACAAAGAGCAGATGCTTTCAAGGTCTGTCTCCCTCACCAGATTTCTCCTCTGCTCTTCAAACAGGGAGCCCAAGATGCTACCTATGCATGAAATGCTTTGCCAGGCTGGTGCAGAACCAACAGCTATTCAAAACTGGCCAAGTCCACATTTGCTGCTTGGGCATTGGGAGAAGGAAACTTGCAATCACTATCCATCACTAAATATTCACTGAGAGCACTGACTGCTTGCTAGGCACTTGCAACAGGCATTTCCTCTTCATTATCTCATTAAACCAGAAAGAAATCTCCCTGCAAAAAAAAGTTTCCACCTCCAGCCAGCAACAAGCCCTAGTGAGATACCATAAAGGCAAAAAGGTAAATACATCTTTCTCAAGACCCAACATGTTTTAAACTCTCACCAGTGCCGCCTTATACATGTATTTTGTTGCTACTTTGCATTGTGCCAGGATCCCAGTTTAGATGCTCAATAAACTCATGCTGACTGACTGGCACAAACTCCTGGCTTGTGCCCTGGAAGGATGTTAAGCAAGCCCGCTGGCTACTGTTCAACACTGCTCATTTCCTAATCATAAATATAATGGGCCTCCCTTTCAGATGCAATGCTTGGCACTAACTAGTCATTGCTGCAGATAGAAGGAATTCATCAAAATAAAGTGCGATTTGCTCTGGAAGTTTCTCTAAGCAACTTCTGGGTGCCTCTCACCACGTGTGACTTAATTCTTCACAACCCTGTCAAACACCTGTGAGTGCACCCTTTGCAAAATACATTAATATTAATTTGAATAGTGGAAACTAAGATCTCAGAACATCAGCCCCTGGAAGAGAACGTCAATTCCATTTGTGAATTAAGATTCAGACTTTGTTTTTTAAATAAAGACAAGGGGGAACAACCAAGTACCTAGCAAGTAGCTATGTCAAAAACATTAGCTTCTTTTCAATTTTGGGACAAAAGAGTGCTGTCTCCAGAACCTACAGAAAGAATTTCCGCCTGCAGCTAACTACTGCTTCCTCTGCGGACTTCTCTAAAAGCTGTGCCCTTCTACAGAATCACTGCACACAACATCTGTACCAACGCTCTCAGCGCCTGCAGTGGACTGGGTTTCCATAGCTTTCCCAGGGCACCCAGGTGAGCATGAACACGCGTATCTAGACTGGCTGTGGAGCCAGGGGGTGGCATTCAAGTTCCCAAAGCTTGTGGGATCCTCCAAATTTGCCAGCACCTTCTGCAGCTCCTCTTCCTCAGGTTAAACCTGCTTTACTGCCCTCCTCCACCCCACGCCGCAGGACAAGCTTTAGGAGCACTTTGTGGGGGCAGGAGGGGAGGACGCTGTCAGAGTTTAGGGTTCATCTTCAAGGAATCCCTGCGTGCGCTGACTCCGGGGTGGGGGGCACCTGGCAAGGTAGCGAGGACTCCCGTAGGCCCGGAGAAGCTGAGGCAGCCTTCGCCACGTGGACAGCAATCGCGCTGCGGCGAGTTCCCGCGCGCGCTGGTCGAAAGCCTCCAGGAGGTCGATTGGGGCGGCTTCCCGTAGCACCTTGGGCAGAGGGCCCACCTCGGCGGCCGGCCCGTCAGGACCCAGGACGCAGTGGAAGAGCGTACGGCGTCGCAGCAGGCACTCCTTAAGAAACTGCACCACCTCGTCCAAGCGCTCGCTCAGGTGCCCCTCATCCCAGACTTGCGCCAGTGCCCCCTCGCGCAATAGCACTGCCAGCAGTGCAGTCTTGAGCACATATGAGGACAAGAGACGCTCCCACTGCGTGGCAGCCGTCGGGTCCAGCCCGCGGGCGCCCAGGTCTCGAATGGCCTTAAGCAACTGCAGGCTCTTGAGGTAGCAGGCACCTGGGGGGGCCCATTCCTGCAGCCAGGTCAGCAGCTTCTGCTCCTGGCGCGCTGTGTTCACGCCCCAAAGTGCCTCTGCGCGCAGGCCTCCCGGAAGCTCCGACAAGAGCCCAGCAGGCGAGGGTGAAGGCGGTGGCGCCACGAGGAACACGCTGTCTCCCACATGGACGGCGGGGATGAGACGCACCGCCATGGAAAGGCGGCAGCAGCCGTAGTCAGTGCGGCAGGGCAGGATGTGCAGGGTGGGCGGCTGCTCTAGACCGCCCGGGGTCAGGCTGACCCGACAGCGCCCCTCCAGACTGTAGCGCACAGTGGCCAGAGAGCGCTGCAGGTGCGACTGAAACCAACGCAGCACCAGCGTGGCGGAGAGGTGACGCCGCCCGCGCACGTCCACGCAGAAGCTGTCCGTGAAAGGTTTGCAGTCCCGGAGCCAGTGACCAGAGGGGGCCCCTGATGGCGAGGGCGGCGCCTTCAGGGCGCACAAGAAGCAGCTGCGGAAAGCCGGGGCCAGCGCAGGCTCCGAGCCTAGGCTCTGTGGCTCCAGCGCCACCAACGGCGGAAGGCGCAGCGGCACCAGCACGTCGAAGCCGTCCGGCCGGCGGATTTTATGCTGCTCGTAGGCGCTGCCCACTTGGATGAAGTCTCCGCGGAAGGCCAAGGCCAGGGCCCCCCCAGGGATGGGGCCTGGACACGTCCTGGCACGGCCAGCCCTCACCAGTTCGCCCACGATCCGGCTAACGTGCGCCTTGCTGTGGCCCAGCACGTGCGGCGATAGGCGCACTTCGTGCTCGTAGTAACTCTCCAGCAAGATCTCCAGGCCCGGCTCTCCGATGGGCCTCGGGGACGAGGCGGGGCGGCTCCCCAGGCGCGGGGCCCCGGGCAGGAGGCGCTGACGGACAGCGTGGCGGCAGCGCAGGAGGACGTAGCCGAGGAGCAGCAGGATGGCTGCCTTGAGTAGTGGGAAGCCGCAGTCTGGGCCGTCTGGGGGCTCAGCCCGGGCGCTCCCACTTCCGCGCAGGACATGATAGAGGCACACGAGGGCGGTGCACAGGCCGGTCACCAGGGGCCAAAAGACGCGCAGATTCAAGGTGTAGTGCACCGACCTGCTGGGCGCCCGGGGCAGCGGCTGCCGAGCAGCCCAGGGCGCGAGCCCCGGCGGCGCCCCCTGCCCAGCTTGCGCGCAGCGCCCGGGCGCCCCCGCTGGTCCCGGCTCCTTCACCTCGGCGGCGATCTCCGCCTTGCTGGGTTCGGGGAAGTCGCTCTCCGCTTCGCAGCGCCCCGGGAAGCCGCTCTCCAGCTCGGCCTCAGCTCCCAACTGAAGTTTTCCTTCCAGCTGCGGCCCGCCCTGCACTCTTGGGCTCGGGGCCGCGCCCTGCGCCGCCTGCGCACTGCGTCTGTCCCGGCGGCCCTCCCCGCCCGACGCCGTGGCGCGTTGTCCTCGGCCAGCTTCTGGCACGGCCTAGCTCGCCGCCTACCCTGGGCGCCTTGCCTGGCACAGCGGACCCTGGACTCTCTGCCGCTTTCCTCCGCGCTCGTTCCCGTTATCTGGCTCTGGGAGTTTCGTCTTCCTAAGGGAGGCAAGGCCGCGCCAGCTAGCCGGGAGGAAATGCCGAAGTCTGGAGCGGAGCGTGGAGCCGGCGGGCGGGGTCGGCCCCCTCCCGGGCCTCCGCCTTAAAGCGACGCGAGTCGGCGGGAGGGACTTCGGGATGCGTTTGGCACTGGCCTCTCGCAGGCCACCCCCATCCTTCCTCACCGAAGGCAGACCCGGGAATGTCACGGTTCCGGGGCGGAGGCCTCGTCCACGGGGGTTGTGCGACATGAAGTTATACTGGGAAGTTGAAAAGGAGGAGAAAATGTTCCCATCCAGGCTGCCCTGCGGTGTGCTCTGTTCAAGCCAGTATTTTTATTGAGCACCTACAATGTGGCAGGCAGCAGGCTAGGTGCTGGGAAAATTGCAAAGCTGACACAGACAAGGCTTCCGCCGTTCTGTGGAGCTTATGGGTTGGTTAAAAAGAGAGAGAGAGAGAGAGAGAGAGAGAAATAAAAAGAGAGAGAAATAAAGAGAGAACGGGTCAGATATGGAGAAATGCCCTGAAAGAAACAAGACTGTGCTGTGACGCAGACCAATTCTGAGAGGATGGCTGCTTCCCATTCAGTAGGGGGAGGCCTCGCGAAAGGTGACATTTGTCTGAGACCTGAAAGAGGAGGGGCCAGCTTGAGGAACAATAATAACAGTTCCTACCAGCACTAGGAGCTCTGGTAGCATAGTGGCTAAAGCACTTGACTGCTAACCAGAAGGCTGGCGGTTCAAACCCACCAGCCACTCCTCGGAAGGAAGGTTGGGCAATCCTACTTCCGTAGTGATACTGCCTCGGAAACCCAAGGAGGGGTTGCTATGGAAGGGTCGCTAGGAGTTGGATCCAAGTTGATGGCAGTGAGTGACCAGCACTACTCTAACCACTTTGTGCAAATAGACTCATTTACTCACTTTAACCCCACAAAATTCTCCCATTTTTCAGATGAGGAAACTGGGGCACAGGCCTAAGATCAGCCTTGGCAGAGCTGAGCTTTGAACCCAGCATCTGCCTCTCTGGGAGCAACCAGGGGGTAGGACTTCTGGGAAAGGGGACCATGAGAATGTCCCTTCAGTATCTGCAGGGAATTTCTCTGGGCCCTTCTTCAAGGCCTGCACTGGGCTCTGAGACCCAGGAAGCCTGTTTTTGTTTCTTTCTTAACAGGTAGGGACCACTCTATGAAACTATCTGGATTGATTTACAGGCCACAGATCTGCTCTGGAAGAAGTGCAGCCGGAATGCTCCTTGGAAACAAGAATGGCCAGACTTTGTCTCACCTACTTTGTTCATGTTGTCAGAAGGGACCATTTCCTGGAGAAGGATATCATGGTTGGTAAAGTGGAGGGTCAAGGAGAAAGGGGAAGGGGCTCAATGAGATGGATTGTTGGGCTCAAGATAGCAAGGATTGTGAGGATGGCGCACGACCAGCCAGTGTTTTGTTCTGTTGTACGTTGTGAGTTGGAGCTGACTTGATGGCACCTAACAACAACAACAATTGCCCGTTTCCTGTCTGCACTGTCACTGCAGGAACGAAAAAACAAACCAAACCAAACACACTGTTGTTGAGTCAGATCCAACTCATAGCAACCCCTCTTTGGGTTTCCGAAGCAGTATCACTATGGCAGTAGATTGCCCAACCTTCCTTCCAAGGAGTGGCTGGTGGGTTTGAACCGCCAGGCTTCTGGTTAGCAGTCAAGTGCCTTAGGCACTATGCCATCAGAGCTGAAGGAAAGCAAGGGTCAATGCATGAAAAAATGTCAAACCCAGCTGCCATCTGGGAGCCAGGACTCAGAGAATGGCTCCTGGATTAAGCTCCAGAATTACTCCCAGGAAATTCTGCATTGAGCTTGTTAGAGCTAAACAGATTTGGTTTCAGATCCTATCTCCACTGCTATTAGCTGTGAAACCATAGTCTATTCATTAGGATGGTTGGGGTTCCAAGTGTCAGAAACATAGCTCAAACTCATTTAAGCAAGACATTTATTATATCATAACTGAGAAGTCCATGAGGATCCAACTTCAGGTATAGTTGGATCTAGGTGCTCATATGGTAAGGATTTGTTCGCCTCCACTCTTCAGGTCTGCTTTCCTCTTGCTGTCTAGTAGCATCACTACTAACATCCTGGCTCCAGAGGGCATAAGCATCACCTTCAGCACAAAGTCGATTCCTATGAGATAGAGGTCAGACATACCTCCACTCTCCTGCTTTTTCCCCATTTCTGACACCAGTGTCCTCAGCCTTCCCTGCACTCCCTCCCCCCGCAATACACACACACTCTATTCCTGTTCTGGGGTTCAATAATTTGCTACAACTGCCATGCACAACTCAGACTGTACTCTCAATTATGTGGTTAATTTTGGAAGTAACAGGCTACGGCTTAGGAGACAGGATACAGTTCTTCCATCAGAACAGCTTCCAACTAAGACAGCTCTCAACTTCTTGGCCGTGCCTGTTGCCAGGCCTTCTCTTGGGCTCTGCTCAGGCAAGTGTTACAGCTGTTTAGTTCTCTGAGAAGCACCCAGAGGCCCCACAGCACACCAGCAAGCCTCCTTTGCTCGAAGATGCCCAGCTCTCTCGCTCCACGGGTCGGCAAGCCCACTGCAGCCGCCTCTCGCTGGTCTCCTGCCGCTTGTACTGCCTGCCACCGCCTTGCACCATATCCATTGTTATAGCTCTTGACCCATATCACAGCTCTTCTAGGAGGTTCTAGTGCAGGAACCCTGAGTCCAAGGACACACTCATCTCAAGGCTCTTGTTGATGGTAGTGAGGGCCCCTTCAAGGTCTGTGGATTAGCGCTTACATAATGCTACGCCTTGTCAATTTCAAGGCATGGTCCTCCCACCAGGACCATGAACTAACCAATCCCCTCAATATTTGCAAAGCAGTTGACCAATTCCTGCAGGTCACTTAATCTTACTGGATGGTTTTACACAATCCTTGCAAATCTGTCCCAGAAGTGCAGCCAGAATGCTCCTTAGAAGCAAGAATGGCCAGCCGTCTTCTCACCTATTTGTTCATGTCAGAAAGGACCAGTCCTTGGAAAAGGATATCACTCTTGGTAAAGGAGAGGGTCAGCGAAAAAGGGGAAGACCCTCAATGAGACGGACCGACACAGTGGCTGCAATGATGGGCTCAAGCACAGCAAGGATTGTGGGGATGGCGTAGGACTGGGCGGTGCTTGGTTCTGTTGTAGGTAGGTTTGCTGTGAGTCGGAGCCAACTCAGTGGCACCTAACAACAACAACAACAACTTGCAAGACTGTGGCCCAGCACATCATCTTGGCAGAACTACAAATCCAGGGCCAGAAAGGCCATATCTAGGAGAAACCCACTGCCCCTCAGAGCAGACCATCTCCACACGGTGCCCTGCTGTTTTAGTCTCACATTATCCTCAGTGCAAAATTGACCTTTGCTTTTCTGACAGCTGCAGCAGATAAGATAGCCCTGAGTCTTGTGTTCAGAGTGCCCAAGAGAGATGCACTGATGAGCCTGGCCTGGGTGGGTACTCAACCCTGGAGCCAGGAGGTGGGGTCATCACACGAACCATGGACTTTTTATGTTGAGGGGAAGGGAGAATGTTCCAAGGAAAGTCACAGTGATATGGTTAGAAAAAGGAGAGTGGCAGTGTTTTAGCATGTGGACACAACAGGTGGCCACCACATTTGCAGAAGCCTCCTAACCTCACTTTGCTTCAGTTTCCCCATCTATAATATGAAGGTGATTGAAACAGGGTGATTTATCCTCAACCAGACAAATGAGGGCAATACACTAGATCACGGGTCAGCAAACATTTTCTGTAAAGGGCCAGAGAATAAATACTTCAGGCCTGATGGGCCGTACAGTCTCTGTCAGAGCAATTCAGCTGTGGCATTATGGCCCCAAAGCAGTCACAAAACCCAAAGAACCCAACCCGCTGTTATGGCATCAATTTCGACTCATAGAGGCTGCAAATCTTTATGGAAGCAGATTGCCACGTCGGCTGGTGAGTTCGAACTGCCGACCTTTCAGTCAGCAGCCAAGTGCTTAACCACTGCACCACCAGGGTTCCTAAGGCAGCCACAGACAATATATAACGAGTAGGCAGGGCTATGATCCAATTAAAATTTAGTTATGGACACTGAAATTTGAATTTCTTACCATTTTCACATCATGAAACATTCTTTTGATTCTTTTTCAGTCCTTTAAATATGTATAAACCATTCCTAGCTTGCGGTTTGTACAAAGACAGGTGCCAGATTTTGCCTGCCAGCCATAGTTTCCCAACCCCTGACCGAGAGCATGGAGAAGCTGCAACATGGAAGGAACTCGGGTCCCCAACACTGTCCAGCTGTCAGATCAGCCTGGCCCCCCTACCCAGACTTGTTAGCTGCTGTCAAGTTGACCCCCAACTCATGATGACCCCATGCACGATGGAATGAAATTCTGCCTGGTCCTGCACCAACCCCATGATTGGCTGGGGATTGGACTGTTGTGACCCACAGGGATTTCATTGGTTGATTTTCTGAAGCAGATCTCCCAGTTTCTTCCTGGTCTGTCTTAGTCTGGAAGCTCTGCTGAAACCTGTTCAGCATCATAACACACAGCCTCCGCTGGCAGGCAAGTGGTGGCTGCAGGTGAGGTACATTAACTTCTGTTTTGCTTAAGCCAAAGTAATAGATAATAAGCAGAACACTGGGGAGGTTAAATGAGATCATTAGCACAGGACCTGGCATGTAAGCTGCATCAATATCTGCCATTAGCAAACCCTACTGATTTTTCCTGCCTCATCTCTCACCTGCCCTGCCAGAACCACCTGCTATCTGGTCTCCCTACCTCATTGTTTCTACTTCACATGGCAGTCATGATGATCTTTTAATGCCTAAAGCAGATCACCGTGTTTCTATGTTTAAAAGCCTCCTGCAGCTCGTTTGCTCAGTCAGAGTGGAGTCCAGAGTCCTCTCCATGGCCTGCAAGGCCCTCCTCGCCACCACTCTCTCCTCCTCGCCACCACTCTCTCCTCCTCACCCAGCCTTCCTGACCTCACTGTTGTTCAAACATGCAAACACACACCCGCCTTTCCACTTGCTGTTCTCATGCCTAATGCCCTTGTGTTAGACTGGGTTCTCTAGGGAAACAAAACCAGTAAAGCTTATATATGGAGACAAAGAAAATTTATCTTAGGAAAATGACTGACACTTATGGAAGCTGGCAAGTCCAAAGTTCTCGGATCAAACTCAAGCTGGAGGCTTTTCCCGACTCTTGAAACTGCAGGGGCTGAGGAGCTCAAGGTTGGCAGGCAGTATACTGGCTGTTGACTTGAACGAATGATGATTCCAAGATCTCCAGGCCGAATGGTGGATTGTTTGCTCACGGACAGTTGTAGGCAGCACAACAGAATCCCGATCCACAGATGTGGATGTCTGTAAATATACTGGAAGCAGGCCACGTCCCTAGGGAAACTCCCTTTCAACGGATTGGCTGCTCAAAACATATTCATCTGATCCCATCATGGAAATAACCACATCATAACTGCTTAAACCACACAGAATTGTGGTCCAGCCAAGTTGACACACAGCTCCAACTATCACAACCCTCTCCTCTGATACAATCGTGACTCACTCATGTCTCTGCTCAAACGTTACCTTATCACAGAGGCCTTCCTGAAACAGCAGCCATATCACTCTCTGTCCCCACACCCCACTTTGTCTTTTTTTGCCTCTCAACAAATGATGTGTGTGTTTGTTGTCTGTATCCGTCTCCCCTGGAGTGTACACTCCATGAAAACAGATTGGGGCTGTTTTCCTGGTTGCCATGGTAACCACCACCACCACTACCCCATTGCCATCCAGGTGATTCCTACTCATGGTGACTCGTGGTGTCACAGGGTGGATGCTCCCTAGGGATGTCCTGGCTGGAATCTTTATGGAAGCAGATCACCAGGCCTTTCTTCCAAAGTGCTGCTGGGTGGGTCTGAACGATCAACCTTTAGGTTAGTCATGTTGTTACTTGCCATTGAGTCTGTCTGACTCCTGGTGACCCCACATGTTCAGAGCAGAGCTGCTCCACAGTGTTTTCAGGGCTATGACCTTTTGGAAGTAGACTGCCAGCCTGTGTGTCTTGAAGGCACCTCTAGTTGAGCCAGCAGCTGAGCGCTTAACCCTTTGCACCACCCAGGAACTCCTTTTCAGGTTAGTACCTGGGTGCAAACCATTTACACCACCCAGTGACCTTTCGCCATAGTACCCCCTGCCACTGAGTCCATTCTGACTCCTAGCAACCTCCACTGGGGTTCCAAGGCTGTAAATCTTTACAGGAGTGGATTGCCTCATCTTCCTCCCACAGAGCAACTGGTGGTTTTGAACTGCTGGCTTTCTGGTTAGCAGCCATGTACCTTACCCACTATGCCACCAGAGCTTCTTTTTGCCATAGTCAAAAAAAAAAAAAAAAACCAACCCACTGCTATTGAGTCGATTCTGACTCATAGTGACCCCCATTGGGTTTTCCAAGGCAGTAAATCTTTACCGAAGTAGATTGCCCAGTCTTCCTTCCATGGAATGGCTAGTGGGTTTGAACTGCCAACCTTCTGGTTAGTAGTCAAATGCCTTAGGTACTGTGCCACCAGAGCTCCCCCCACCTTTTTTTTTTTTTTGCTGTAGTCATGTTTGGTAAATACTTGCTGAGTAAATGATATATTACTTTTCTTACTGTTTTTCTTGCCTGAGATCGGTTTCCATAGCTCATTTCCTGCAAAGAACTCAACATAGAAGCCTCAGACCTTTACATGTGGAAAATCTACTGCAAGGTGTGTGTCAGAACAAATAAAAATTCAATTATTCATTAATTTACTGTCCACATCTATGGGTGGATTCAGAAAATCACCACAGTTTCTCAGCTTTTTGAAAATGATTAAAACCTTTAATGTTTAATATTTGACGAAAGTCACTCCTGTTATTTTCCTACAGCTTGGCAAATAGACACACACACGCACACACACATCCCTCCTGAATGCTTTTGATAGCCCTGAGGCATGCCCTATGGAGGAAGAATGGAAACACCAAGGAGAGGAAAAAAGACCAAGGAGGTGACTCATTTTGCACGGGAGGAGCAAGGAAGCCTCACGAGGTGGTGAATATGGTCAACCTTTGAAGGGCAGAAAATGACAGATGTTTGACTTACATTGCCTGTGTCCTGGCTGCAGTCCTTCCCTCACAGTAGCTCCTGGCAAACTCAGAACAAGCCCAGTGAGGTAGGTGCTGTTATAAATGCCATTTCACATATAGGGAACAGAGAGGTTAAGTAACTTTTTCAGAGCCACACAGCTAGTAAGTCTGACTCCAGAGCTGGGCTCTTAACCTCTGTGTGTCACTGCTTTCTGCATCGCAAAGGGTTTGATAGGAGAGAAACAGAGCATTCTGGGAAGGCAAGTGAATGTATTTCTGTACTGATCTCCCTAACCAGGTGATGAGGTTGCTGAAAGCAGGGACTGTGCCGTATTCATCTTGATAGCTCCAGCACCTGGAGGTTTGCTGAATAAATAAATTAATGGGATTCTGACGAACAGAAATTCAGGGAGGCCATTTCAGGAGTTCAGGTGGCGTAGTGCCTAAGGCATTTGACAACTAACCAGAAGGCTGGCAGTTCAAGCCCACCAGCCACTCCACATGATGGAAGACTGGGCAATCTACTTCCGTAGAGATTTACTGTCTCAGAAACCCAAAGTGGGGGTCACTATGAGTCAGAATTGACTCGATGGCAGTGAGTTTCATGTTTTTTGGTTTTTAAAGCTTCAGGTAATGGAAACAAGATGTGCAATGTGCAGAGTGGAGTCCAGAGTCCTTTCCATGGCCTGCAAGGCCCTCCTTGTCACCACTCTCTCCTCCTCACCCAGCCTTCCTGACGTCACTGTTGTTCGAACACGCAAACACACACCCGCCTTTCTACTTGCTGTTCTCATGCCTAATGCCCTTGTGACAGTGGGGGAACCGGAAAAGGGTCCTGTTGTGCAGAAGTCTGAGGTTTGTGAATGTACTCCAAAAAAAAAAAAAATCAAATTCACTGCCATCAAGTTGATTCTGACTCATAGTGACTCCCCTTCTGGGTTTCTAAGGCAGTAAATCTTTACAGAAGTAGATGCCCAGTCTTCCTTCCGTGGAATGGCTGGTGGGTTTGAACTGCCAACCTTCTGGTTAGCAGTCAAATGCCTTAGGCACTGTGCCACCAGATGTGTATCATGGCTCAATTTGCTAATATCTGTCTTAGTTCCCTAATGCTGCTGTAATGAAAAATAGCACCAGTGGGTGGCTTTAAAGAATAGAAATTCATTTCCTTGCAGTTCTGGAGGCTGGAAGTCTGACTCATGGTGCTGGTTCTAGGGGAAGGTCTTGCTTCGACTCTTTCAACTGCTAGTAGCTGCCAGCAACCCTCTGGTGTTCCTGGGCTTTTGGATTCATCTCCTTCTGCTTTCACGTGGTGTCTCCCCCTGCATACCTGTCTATTCTACTCATGATAAGACACCATTCAGAAGGAAGGAGGTTTAGGACCCACCCACTCTGAAATGACCTCATTAATATGAAAAAAGAAAAGCCCTATCTCAAAATAGAGTTTTACTGACCGGTAGGCCTTTGTTTTGGTCCTTTAGTGCTGCTCTAACAGAAAATATCACAAGTGGATGGCTTTAACAAACAGGGATTTATTCTTTTACAATTTAGAAGGCTAGAAGTCTGAGTTTAAAGAGCCAGCTTTAGAGGCTGGAGGCCCCACCTTGGCCTTCAGCTCTGCTTCTTACTCCTGGCCCACTGGAGCTGGAGGCATCTCT